GTGTGTGTTTGTGTGTGTGTTAGCAGGACCTCCCTTAGATGTATGTGTGTGTCTTTAATTCCACAGAGTGGTGCGGTGGGCTGTTGCACTCCACTGGTCTGACCAGAAAACATGCAAATGAAGCTCTGTTGGCACACAAAAAAACTCAAACACACCACACAAAGCACAAAGAGCTACTGTGTAAAAATAATAACCTGAATGTGTTGTGTGTGCAGGCACGTAACAAGCAGAATGGAGAGCTGGCAGCCATCAAGGTCATCAAGATGGAACCAGGTGAGGATTTTATCTGAATATTTATTCTTTCATTTGATTTTATCAGGAACTCGTCTTAATGTTTTCATTCACTGTCACATGTTTTAGCATTGAAACTGTTTGTGTACTATATTTCGACAATGTAAGATACTAAAATGTGCTACTACTTGTTTGGCCTGTGGTTAGAGGCCTACTGTATGTAGATGTAGATTTTCCACCTATGCCCCTGGACAAAGTTAATAAGCATGTTTCCAACCTGTGAGGTCCCGGCTTCATCTGGTGAAAGTCCCTAAACTTGTTTTAACACAATTACTAGCTCTCATACCCATTATGATTCCATTATGGGAGCTTTTAACAAAACACTGCAGTAAATGCTAAAAGGCAGAGCTAGCTAAAGAGCGAATCATTACTTTCCTACAGTGGCACAACAGCATAAATCATACAAATCAAAGCTATAAACCATTAAACTCCACCAATAACCCAAGAAAACAGGCTGCAACTACATGAAATTATACCGCCAACAGTTTGATTACACTGATCATTGTTTGTGTGGCCCAGCACTGTAATTAGTCTGAACTGCAAAAATAAAGAGACCCCATTGCCTCATTCAGCTTTTTATTAAAGCTGCACTATAAAGATTGTAAGTAAAAATGTATCAGCTCTATCAGCTTGGATCAGTAGCAGTGCAACGCTCTGACCTCCTTATTCAGGTTCATTCTGTTCATGTATTTTAAACTCTGGTGTCAGACATGGTCATGCAAGAAATGGAAATTTACTTTAACCTTTGAACCCCAACTGACCTGCCTGTAGGCCACTCAGTGCAAACTCTGTGGAGACAAACATGGTCCCAAACAAACAAACAAACAAACTTTCTTTCAAATTCTAGAGGAAATCTCAAAGATGGCAGGATGACTTTTTGGATAATAAATCAAAGTTACTTAAGGGAAGATAAAAGGTGGTGAATCACTCGTACCTGCCACTATGTTCTTATACTATACACCTTTGTTTGGATGCATTCATGGAGGGTTTAGTATATTATGGACTGTACTGTGTACAATTAAATCCTTCTTACACTCAAACATGCACATATCAGTTGTATCAAGTGTCTATTTAATACCACATGCTCTTTCTCTCAGGGACTTTTATATGCATTTACAATGCAGCAGATCATATAACAGCTCAGAGAGAACTGCATCTGTCAGTGTTTATGGTGACTGATGTTTATCTGTTTATTTATACACTTTCCCTTAATATGGCGAGCCCACAGTGAGAAGGAAGGAATCAGTTTGATGATGGACTTGGATGACGTTTTATCATCGGTCCAAAGATGCCTGGTGCAGCTTTTAGAGTTTAACCAATTTAAACTCTAAAAGCAATAACATCTCAATCTGAATTGATTTGACCTTTGGAGGCAATTGGAAAGTTTCTCAGCTTTAAGTGGTGGAAACTCTGACACCTTTCAACAAAAGGGAAGCTAGAGCTCGGCTGAAATTAGCTCCTAACAGTGACCTCAACCGTGTTTCATTGTAAATTGAAAGCAGAAAGCAGCTGGTGCTCCACCTGTGCACATTATATTACATTCATTTAGCAGATACGTTTGTCCAACTGACTCACAACAAGTGCATTCACTCTCAAAAGGAGTACAACTAGATGTCATCAAGAATTGGTAGTGCAACCCTCCAGATAAACAGCAAGCATGTAGTGTGTTTATCGACCTGTGTTCATATGTAATGATGATATGAATCATCTCTCTCTCTGTCTGCTTCCACAGAGGATGATTTTTCGATCATCCAGCAGGAAATCGTCATAGTAAAGAGCTGCAAACACCCCAACATAGTGGCATATTATGGCAGCTACATACGGTGAGCGGTCTGTTTCTGTGTTTCTTTTCTTTTATTCATCTTAGATACAGTCATTAACTGAAAGATTTCTGTCTGCAGAGCTAATAAACTATGGATCTGTATGGAGTTCTGTGGAGGAGGCTCCCTCCAGGATGTCTACCATGGTGAGTCTGTTTCTCTTGGGTTTATAGTTTTTATTATAGTTCATAAATTGCAAAATTAAAACAACAAACAAAATTGCAGTGAACAAATAGAAATGTACATGTAAAACAGCTAGAAGTGATGATAAAATAATAGATAAAAGAACAGATTAAATAAATAACAGATACATTTTAAAGAAGCCAAACAAAACAAATGAGTCCTGAGAGGTAATTTCTAAGAGGGAAAATAATTTACATTTTGTATAGTTTATTAATAGATGGGATGGTGTAAATTAATAAATAAATTCCAGTTCCTTGGGTATTTCTAATCGAGCCCTAAGAGCAAAGGCTTTTTCGCTCTTGGTCTTCAGTCTTGACCAGAGAATAGCTAACAGGACCTTACCAGACAAACTCAAACTCATAATAATGATTTATAAGTTCTGCCAGGTAGCCAGAGCCTTAAAAGTCAACAAATAAATGTTTTAAATGAATTCTAAAACAGACAGGCAGCCAGTGGAGTGAAGCTAAAATAGGTGAGATGTGATATTGTTTTTGTGATTTGGTTAAATGTCTGGCGGCTGTGTTTTGGACACCCTAAAGCCGTGTAATCAAGTTCAGCCAGTAAGTATGTTATATTTGGTAGTATGGCTCTGTTCGGAGACCTCCCTGCCCTCCCCACATGTGCATACTTAAGCTTAAAACAAGGAGAGCAGCAGAAAAGCCTCCCCAGGGTACAGAACAGTGCAGGAATCAATGACAAAAGAGATGACATTGACTGAATCAGATTTGGCGTAAAAGGATGAGCTGGTGTGGAGGCAGGTTGCAGAGCAGCTTACAGAGGAAGTGCAAGGGTAGGCAGGCTACAGCATGGAAAAAAAGCTTGAAGGGAATCAGCTGTGCTATCAGTTGATGTGGATTGTTTATAATCAGCTGCGATCAGATCAGTGAACCTGTCTGAATTCACTCTGTGCTCAGTTTTTGGCTAAGACGTGTAAACGCGGTATTACAATAATCCAGACGGGAAGTGAGAAAAGCATAATAACTCTTGGAAGGTTATTAAAAGTAATGAAAGGTCTAATTTTAGAGACATTTCTCAGTTGGAAAAAACATGACTGAACTCATCTTTTAAGACTGGACTCAAAAGTGAGGTTCAACAAGCTGAGCTAGATCATAAGGCAGTAAGCTGAATGCAATCCTTAACTGCAGTTAGGCAGTTATGCAGGGCAAATAAAGCTAATGTAGAAAAATTACACGACAACATCTAACTGAGAAGACATAAAAAATATCACAAACATTTTGAAAGGTTCAATTTGCATCTAACTAGCACTTGATGAAGAATTAACGGAGGCATTAAACATGATTTTTACGACCCGACGGAGCCCCTAAAATTGACCATAATATATCTACTGGGTGTTAGCTTTGTTGATCAAACCAATGAGCCAGTGATTATTGGATAGTTGGATCAGGAGACACCACACAGCCTTAGTCTTAACCTATAAGCAAAAAGTCTAAATGGTATTAATGTAAGTAACAGTATTTTGGGTTCTTCATCCTCTCTTGCTGCTTCCTGCAGAGGCAGGAAATCAGTTCCATCAATGTTGTTGTAAACAACCGACTGCAAATGCTAAATGTTAGATTAAATATCACCACAGTCACTGTAGAGGGACACTGTGACACTGGTACACACACTTATACGAGGGGTCTAACAGTTACTCGATAACAGCCAGTGCAGTTTGTTTTCAATTCACTTTGTCTCTCCAGTAAAGCTGATCAGTAAAATGTTTTCATATCCAAATTCATTAAAGTTATTTTCCCATAATCCTCTCTTTGAATGTTTCATTCAAGCAAGTCGGGAGTGGCTAGTTTTAAAATGTTCCTCAGTACTGATCTGCTACACAATATTCAAAGCATCCTATAAAACAACCAATACACATGTTATTGTTGTAATGAGCCTTGATCACTTAATTTGCCTTTTCCCAGTCATAAACTGTGCTGTGTAGGCTGTTAATAATTACATTTAATTAATTGTGTTCCACAGTGACTGGTCCTCTGTCTGAGCCACAGATCGCCTACATCTGCAGGGAGATGCTACAGGTAAAGTCACACTGATAACTTATTAATAGTTAACGATGGTTTGACTGTTAAACATCTATTAAAAAAACCCTACAATGATATTCAAGGCACAAAAACCCGTTTATATCATCTGTTTTGTTTCCTGTATTTTCTGTTTTTTCTTCATGGCTAAAGTGGGTTCAGTAGGTGAAAGTAAAAGCTTTTATTTTGTTGCTGTCAAATTTCTGATATTCTCTATGTGTGTGTGTGTGTGTGTGTGTGTGTGACCAGGGTCTGGACTACCTGCATGCACAGAAGAAAATCCACAGAGACATCAAGGTGAACATGTCTGGCAATGCTATGGGACTGTTATTCTACATTGTTCGTTGACTCGTTGCATTTATTTGTGGCAGAGCACATTAGGCTACAGTAGATTAAACTTTTAGATTGCTGTGGGAAAACTGGGTCACTGCAGCAGCAGAATAAGATGTAAACAAGAATGAAGCAAACAAAAATATTCTGTATGTTTGTCATTTAATCTGCTGATTGACAATATTTAGTTCTATTATCCTGCCTTTAACATTTCTAAATCCCAAGCTCTCAGACTTTAACTCTACCTTAACTATAACTTCATGATGGATAGTAAATCTTGAAAAAAAGTAGCAAATAATTAAGAGAAGATAAGTGCCCTACAGGAATAAATTATTTAAATAAAGCTCATCATGAACTTTTAAAAAGATGTTCAGTTTAGATTTCCATCCTGTGTGGGTTCAGTCAAAGATCACTGAGTGGATAAAGCAGTCTTTGTATTATAATGATGTTTATGTGGTTGTGTCTGTGTCTGTGTTGATGTTTGTCTCATCCTCTTTTGCCTCCAGGGTGCCAACATCCTCCTCAACGATCAGGGCGAGGTCAAGCTAGGTAGGTGGATGTTTGCACTGTCTGCTCTGCTCTGCACCGGTGTGGTTAGATGAGTCACCCGCTGCAAGAGTTACAGCTCAATTAACACATCTCTGCTGCCTCGTTTGTACGATATTTAAGAACCGAATAGGCCTCTGCAAAGCACGGTTCTGATAAGGCAAGTCATTTTCCACTTGATAGGAGTTTCTCATGAGACAATTTTCCTGGAAGAATACTCAATATATATTATTATACTGTATATTTGGATATTATGCCAATACAACTAGTTAAAAAGTGGAAAAAATAAATAACCTTTTTTTAAAAAAAATTGGTTACAAATGTTATTTCTATTACAAAGTTAAGACTCACAGTCTTGTTAATTTGCACACAAATATCTGCAACACAAGAAAAGTAATTGTTCATTGTGGTTATTGTTTATGTTTTTTTCCTCTGTTGTGTAGCTGATTTTGGGATCTCAGCTCAAATCACAGCCACTCTGGCCCGGCGAATGTCCTTCATCGGGACGCCATATTGGTAAGATCTCACCCAGAGACCAATCTCTGCAGATTTGAATGTCCTGGAAACATCTGAATCTCAACATTTTATAAGCACAAACTATTATAGGTTACAACATTGTTGAATGAAATCTGTCTAGAGCATTTTTTGCAATAATATTCCACATATGTCATCTATTTCAAAGAAAAAAAACATGAAATAGATGACATATGAGCAACATTTAAGAGGTATTTAGTTTTACTGCTGAAACTAACCCACATGATTTAGAATATATGAGCACAATTGCTTCACTTTATAACAAAATTCCTCTTCTTTCACCTCTGTGTTCACCAGGCTATAATCTGATGTGACTGTTTGACCTCAACCAATGAGATTACTCCTCTTAAAGGCCGCTCTGACATACATTCATACTGTATTATCTGTGATGTTAAATTCATTTGCTGCGTTTTCCCTCCTGTCCTCAGGATGGCACCAGAGGTGGCAGCAGTGGAGATTAAAGGTGGATACAATGAACTTTGTGACGTCTGGTCTGTGGGAATCACAGCCATAGAACTGGCAGAGCTACAGCCGCCAATGTTTGATGTCCACCCGCTGCGGTAAATACTCATTGAGAGACACAACCTCACACTCCTGAGCACGTGTACATTTCTGCACGGACACAAATATGAGTAAAGGTTCATCTACAATGAGCTGAGTAATCAAAAGTAACTATCTTCTATCAGCCTCCTATTGAACCACATAAGGTTTATCAGCTTATTTATCCATGACCATCTGCACAACATTAGTTTTGTGTATTCATATTTTGGAGCCTAATAACAACTTGAAGGAGAAGATTTCCTACTGTAGTCATTCAGATCATTGATGACATTGCTACATACAGTTAATGGTAACTACTGTGCACCATCTGACCAATCAGAATCAAGCATTCCCAGTGGGTTTTTGGTCAAATAAAATGTGAAGTCATCAGATTTTTCACTCCACTCTCATTTTAAGGTCAAGACACAAACATACTGTGTGTACACACACACTCCCACCCATCTTCAGATCAGTCTTGTTATATTCAACGGAAAACATTTCCACCACCCACGCGTCCGGCGAACTGTGTCTATGTTCATGCATGTAATCACCAGTTTCCCACTGAAGAAAACACTGAACGCACTGCGGTTATAGTTCAACCTATAAACTGAATCTGTTATCCGACAGACCAGGCCAGTGCATAAGTATGTGACATTCATGCACACACAGATTCTCACTGACTGTATTTTTTCCTTTAGGGTCCTGTTTCTCATGTCCAAGAGCGGCTACCAGCCTCCTAAACTGAAGGACAAGTCTAAATGGTAAATAAAAACCTACATTATTATACATTCACTATATTTAATCATAGGTCCAGACAATATCTGTCATGCTGTCATGATCAAATTAAACTTTCTGAGCTTGCATTTATATTTCCAGCCTTGAACAGATATTTTCTTTGTGTATTTTTAGTGAAGAAAATCTGCGTATATGAATATCTTAAACTTATATTCCTACTGGTGTGTTAATATAAGCAAATAAATATGATCTAAATACAATATTTCCATGTCATAATGCTACCAACATATCTCCTGTCTGCAGGTCCTCCATGTTTTATAACTTTGTAAAGGCCATGCTGGTGAGGAACCCGAAGAAGAGACCGAGCGCCGCCAAGATGCTTTCAGTCAGTACTGCTCACATATGCTCCTGTTCAGGTTTATGTATTGACTGCAGAGAGACTGCTGGATTGTGAATGTATAAGAGAAGATGAGGTCAATTGAAGGGCTAAAGATGAATTATGGCAAATATGTTCTTGCATGATTTTTGAAAATGTAGCAACACTGATTTGTGTACAAGAGGAACAGTTCAAAAGAGCAGCTCTAAACTTAAAGTACATATAATTGCTGCTTTTATAATAACAATGCATCAAATGGTGACAATGTAAAATGAGTCACTCACAATGAACAGCTCCCCTCGGCTCTCCCGAGCTTTATAGCGAGTTTCAGCTCCTTGTTTATCTGTTCGTCCCACAACTTTACTGTTTTGGCTCTAAAAACCTGCTGTTCATTATCTGCTCAGCACCAAACAGACAAAGCTGGTGAACATAGTGGAGCATTTAGCAGCTGAAGAGCCAGTTATTTCCTTTAGGGGTTGTTAGAGACCAAACAGAGCTAACAGTTCTGCAGGTTTAAAACAAGAGTTGACTTCTTGTATTAACAAACTACTGACTGACTCTCATCCTCTCAGTCTCGGCCTCCTGTAAGCTTTTTGTCAGTGTTTGGACTGAGCTGTACTAATTGTCTGTTCCTTTGTTCCCGGCGTCTCCTCTCCTTCTCGTTCCCTCTCTGCAGCACATGTTTTTGACCCAGCAGTGCCTGAACCAGGAGCTGACCCTTGACCTGCTAGAGAAGTATCGAAACCCTGAGAAACTGAAGACCTGCCTGGTGACGGAGGACGACGAGATGGAGGTCAGTCTCGATTCAACCTGAACCAAAACTTTACATTATTAATGTACCTTTAAATCCATTACATCTGTTACATCTCTATCTCCTCTCTCTTTCACCTAGACAGACAGATAATAAATAATTCTTGTTGGTTTAAGGTTGTCGTGCCTGGATCTTTAAAGAGGATCCAGTCTATCAACAAGCACAACCAGGCAGAGAGGACAAACTCTGACATAAGCTGTAAGAAAACACACTATAACACTCACACTATTATGAACCTTAATCAGTTGAATATGTCAGTTTTTTGGCATTATTGTGAGTTTTAAAACATCTGATTAAATACATCTGTGGTTACAGTACATCATCAGAAATAATTACTATTAATTGTTTCATGTTTTTATCAACTGCTTTCCTTCTTTTAACATTCCCTGCTGGCAACAATTCAGTGATTCATGATTCAAGACTCCTTATGTGCTAAAGAATCAGTCTGTTTATAGCAAAACAAACTCCTCTTTCTAAAAGTGTCTGTATTTATATCCATTTACAGAGAGAGGATTATATTCCTATTCACCTGTGCTTACTCACCCTAATGAATCATTTTCTTGGCCATTACTTCTGTTCTCTGCTGTCAGTATTACTGAAGATGTTTGAATAATCCAGGGATCGCATCATTTCACTCATCTTGCTGTCTTGGCACATTTGTTTCATCTCTGCTGCTCTGTATTTACCGGCTGTTAATAATGTTGGTGAAAGAATACATATGTAGTCTGCCAGTGCTCCTGTTGGAGTTTCAGTGGATAAGACTGAAATGTTAATGTGTGTCATTGTGTTAAATCTTTGTACTTGTGGTTGCTCAGTGGAACAGATCTACACCCGCAGGCCTGTGAAGAAACAGTCACCAAACACAACGGTGAGCTTATGACACATTTAATGTTAGTAGTAGGACGGCAGACATGCATACATTCACACTTATACAATACATACAAACAAACATGAACTGTATCTATTTGTACTGTACTTATACACTTACATACATCCATACAGTACACATCATATATACTTCAAATACTGACAGTTTACTACATATATATACGTATCTATGAATACAAAGCACACAAAATATACCTTTACTACATATAAATATATATATATATATATTCATAGATAGAAACACACAGTACATGTATATATTTCTACTGTATGTTCAGTATGGATGTATCATGCATATAGTGCATATATATACTATACATACTCCCATTACATACATAGAGAACATGCATACATACAAATTGTACAAACATACATAGATAAAAACTGACGTACTGTATATTTATTATTATATATGTATGAATGCAAACATTTATATAGTATATACATATACAGGGTGGGGTCAGATTACTGAATGTTTTTGGATTACTTAATCATTTAAACATTTAAAATATTGCACCTTGTACTAAAAAAAAGTCGCCACAAAAATCCCACAAATATTATTTTTTTCTATTTAACCATCTCAAAACATGTTCAGTGCAAATAAAATAAAACACAATTTTCATATTCAGTATTTACCGTTGGTCAAATTAAATTACAGTTAAAAGAAAGAAAGAAGTTTTTGTTGCTGAATATGTAATCTGATTACATGTACACACAGTACTTATGGGACACAGCTTGTCTTTATCTCTGTTAATATTGCAAAGTAAACATATTTTTTATTTTCATATCCCATCACAATCTGTACAAAGTCAACATTTCTGAGTTTGGTACAGGCACACAATAATGAAGTCCACAATAACTACAGGACTCATCAGAGGTGAAATTCTCTGGTTGTTATCTTTTCACTTTGAGCAAAAAGTCTATATTTACCATGAAAACACAACAAATTGAGGAGTTTATTCTCCCTCTTACCTTCTCTTTCCATACATCTTTTAGTTCCCTGTTACCTCTTTTACATATATTGGTCATTGTATGTGTTTTTACAGTTAAGGCCTTCAGTGGGATCAACCGGCAGTAGCAAGAGTCCAATGAGGTAACTGGATCCTCATTCAGTCTCATTAAACGGATCTGTATCTGATTCAAATATCTAACCTCTCTTTTCTCTTTCTCCCTCAGGGATCAGGACACAGACTCAGATGATGACTATGATGATGTGGATATGTAAGGAAACGTCACACGAATGATTGATCCCAGCCTATATTTAAACTGCTCAGAGAATACTTTGATCCCGTAAAAAAATGCTCTTATTTTGTAATTTGTTAAAGCTCAGGAAATGAGCCACCTCAGAAATAATTAATATAGTGTTTGACCCCTCTTTTATTTATATACAATCAGTCATATGCAGTAATTTGAATAGATTCCTCTCTCTCTGCCTTTTGTCCACCTCAGCCCTACGATACAATCCACCAGGTGAGCTGAATAAACACAAACTCACATCTGTATTCATGTGTGTTTGCATCATTAACACACCAGACTGAACTCAAACTCTCTCTCTCTGCCAGCAATCTCACAATACCAGCTGATGAAATCCCACCTCCACTTCCTCCAAAGGTGATAATATCTTAATCCATACATGAAATATGGTTTTATGTGTGTTTGTTACAGTGACAGGACTGTGTGTTTGAAGCCAATGCAGAAACTGTTGAATATCTACACCTATACTGTTTTAGTATTAAATATTGGTTATTATCTGTGTTATTTTACTAGTAATTAGTAGTTTATTGTGTTAAATGGAAAGCATTACTTGAAAAATGCCATAATTATACCAATGTTTGATAAAAACTGTGTCCAAGATCAGGATACAGATCAGGATAGAAGAACTCATGCACTCGTACATCCACAGAGGAGGTTGCACTGACGTTCACACATTTATCTCCTACATGGAGCACATCAAACCCTCCTCCTGATCTGTCAGTGTAGTTTTGGATAAGAGCATTAGGCTGTTTGTACTATTTAAAATGTAAATGCAGAAGACACTCAACATGTTTTCTGTGTGTGCAGCCCAAAGCGCGGACCAGCTCAGAGGAGAGCATGGCAGGGGAAGACGAACGGACGAGGAAACCTTGCTCACTCTACGCCCCCTCCCCTCTCATCAGGACCTCCAGTGGGACCCACGTCCGACCTACGCCCCAACCCCGATCCTCACGACACTCAGGTGAGCTGCCCCCTTTTTACATTGTACTGAGGAGAATATATAGCATAGACATTCTCCAAATAATATCAAACATTGAAGAATAGCATAATATTATTTATTTATAAGTTTAATAATTTATGTTTGCTGGTGATATAATAATACTAAGGATGCATGATATGCATTGTTTTCAGCTGATATTGATAATATATTATTACTATTATTATTATTAAAACAACAACATAGTTTATCTGCTATAATTTATTTATCAGAATAATACATAATATACATTTCCAATTAATGACCAATAATTTATTGGCACCAATATATATCCTGCATCTCTAAATAATACTTAAAATATGGTTTGAGGATTAAACACTTTTGTGTATTTAGATCAGTATTCGAGAATGTGTTGGTGGTTTTTTTAAGGGGAAATATTTTAAGAGTTAGTTTGACTAAAGACTAATAATCCACCCAGAAAATTGTTTTTTAGCTGCTGCAGAAACAGTACAACAGAAAATACGCGTGCCTTTCGTATATGAACGCAGTGCAAATGTACTCACACAGTTTCCTGTTGTGTGTGTGTGTGTGTGAACAGACCCTTCATCCTTCTCTGCCCATTTGAATGACATCCCGCAAGACCTCCTCCCTCCTGAGCTTCCCCCTAAAGGCATACGCAGACGGCAACCCCCAACAAAGGTAGGACAGAAGATCACATTTAAGAGAGTATGCAACCTACTCAGTGCCATGTTGAAGAAGTATCACCAGAAGAAGTGCAGCTGTAACAGGAATGAAATGTTCAGTTAATGGTTACTTATATTTAGATGTAGACAATGTCTTTTCCGTTTCATTTTAAAGTTGTGATGACACACGCTTCACGAGGTTTTTCTTTTTGTTCTCAGGACCCTGCTGAGTGTGTCAGCCCCGTCACGAAGAAACCTCCTGTGAGTTTCTGTTGCTTTGCCAGAAGTTCTTGTGTCTGAGATGTGGTGTTTGATGTTTCTCTTGTGTGTGCGGTGTTACCAAAGGGAAACTGTCAACAATTTTAATTCAGCAGGCTCCATATTTAATGGTTAATTGGTTGGATCGTGTATTTCTGAGATCTTTGAAAATCTGAGTTTTCAGTATCTGCGTGTTGTGCAAACATTACATTATTTCCTCCTCTAAATGTCACTTCTTTGTAAACCTGTGGTCTTTTGATAACCACAGTTATATCACCTTATCTAACTTTACCATTTAAACAGTAGAGTGCTTTACGTAGGGGCAGATATAGAGGGCTGGCATTTGTTTGGTGTAAAATGCTGTCAGATTTAACACATTAATTTAGATTAATGGAAATTAATTTATTGATCTGTTATGGCTGCATTTTAGATCAGGGGTGTCCAAAGCTTTTTCCCTAATGGGCCACGGGCCAAAAGCAAACCCCTATTGTAATGTATTGTATTGTATTGTTAAGATGAAAAATGGTATTAGTAATAGTTTCCCTTAATTGACTGACTTCCTGTGTGAGTGTCACTCAGATGAGGAAAAATAACTGTGTGGAGTTTGCATGTTCTCTCTGTATCTGTGTGGGTTTTTCTCTGGGTGCACCAGTTTCCCTCACCATGAAAACATGTACATGTGTGTTATGTTAATTCTCCAGTCAGTGCCCATGACGTAAAGCAGTGGCTCAGGTCTAGAGTTGGTCCCCAGGCACTGTACAGTGGCTGCCCACTGCTCCTCATACTTAGGATGGGTTGAATGCAGAGAAATAGTTTCAGTATACGTTGTGTATAATTGTATATCACAAATAATGTTGATTCTTCTTCTTCTATATTATTATATATGAAAATATAACAATTTATTGATTTCTAATGCCACCTTTAGATATGTCTGTTCAACACTTCACTAATGTGCCACAATTAAGTAATCTTATCTTCATTTGGGGCCTTTTCCAAGCAAATATTGATATATGTGACTTAATGTAGTTATTGTTGAAGTATTATCACATATAAACTACTGTAGAAGGGACAAATATTTTAATACCTTCCCTTCTCTCTCCAGGTCTACTTTAAAAAGATCTTCCATGGCTGCCCTCTTAAAATAAACTGGTCCACGACCTGGGAAAACCCAGCTACCAAAGGTTGTATCATTGAATAAAGCACATATTACTTCACTACTCTCATCTTATCAAACATCTGTCTGACCAGCCTGTGTGTCCTCTCTCTTCTTCAGACCAGCATCTGATCCTGGGGGCAGAGGAAGGAATCTATACCTTGAACCTCAATGGCTCGGAGGCGACAATGGAGCTGGTAGGACCTTTATCTGATCAACACAGAGATGAGCCCCAAAATGACTCAACAGTGATCTGGTTTAGTTATTGTTAATGTTGTATTGGCCAACAGTTTCAATAAATCCTGTTTAATCTTGATACAGGAGGACCTAATTGCTTCACAAATTAGCTGCACGCTAGTTTTACGTTTTAAACTACATTCGGAAAACTAAAGGAGGCAGATTCCTATACAGCAGTTTGACAGTGTTGATTGGTTCAGAGAGATAAGCAACTAAAACTTGTATTCTGTCTGGTCTCCTGTAGCAGGTAGCTTGCAGCGAGGCTTGTTCCTATGGTATAGGATATTTTAGTAAGCCACACTTGATCAGAGGCCCTTAAAGCACACTGTCGCAACAAAAAGGTTGAACAGCGATCAAAGTGCTTTAAAAAAGAGACACCAGAGCTGTAAGGAAGCAGTGAATGAATGCATATCTTCTCTTTCTCTTTCAGTTGTATCCTGGGAAGTGTACCTGGGTCTACACCATTAATAACGTCCTCATGTCTGTATCAGGTAAATTAAAAGAGTATTAAATAAGAAGAATTTGGTCTTCATTCAGCCGAGCGAGTGTTTATATTCCCTACGAGCTTACTGAAAAAAAAAGATAAAGCACAAGAAAGTCTCACTGGAATCTTTAATTTAAACATTGAAGAGCTGCTACAAAGTAGAGGACATGTTTTAATTAACAGCTAAAATGATTTCTGATTCTCTCTCTGCTGTAACTCTAACTGATAGCAGCTATTGTAACTTAAAAAAAAAGAAACTTTAATAAACCTTTTATCTATCTCTCTTTTTACCTCAGTGTGTTGGCTGTAATTTAATGGCTTTTATTCTTTCATATTCTATCAGCAGATGGGTGATTCAGTGTTTAGCTTGTTTGTATGTTTTATGCACATTTACATGGATTTTAATGGTGGTTTGAAGTCTCTAAACTGGCCGTAGTTGTGAATGTGAGTGTTGGTCTGTGTGATGGCTGCAGCCCTCTGAGTCTCTCAGCAGGATGAATCAACTAAATAATATCAACTTTCAAACAGAGTCTGATTCTGTGTTTACAGGCAAATCATCACAGCTTCACTCCCATTCACTGAAGGAGTTGTATGAACAGGCTCGGAAAGACCAGAGGATGGTTGCCTTGCCGACTCACAGACTGTTACCAAGGTAACACTGGACTCTCTGTGTGTTTAATTTTCTGTCACTCTCACTCTTGTTTGGTTTGTCTCAGAAATCCACATCTGCTCATGCCAATTAGAAACGATATTATCTACTTTGTCTTCAGGAAGTTTGCAGTGACGTGTAAAATACCCGATACCAAAGGCTGCAAGACCTGCTCAGTTGGTGAGACAAAATGCAAGAAATCAATAAATCCTGTTTGATCTTGATACAAGAGGAGATAATTGCTTCACAAATTAGCTGCACGCTAGTTTTACGATTTAAACTACATTCGGAAAACTAAAGGAGGCAGATTCCTGTACAGCAGACAGTTTGACAGTGTTGATTGGTTCAGAGAGATAAACAACTAAAACTTGTATTCTGTCTTGTCTCCTGTAGCAGGTAGCTTGCAGCGAGGCTGTGTATTCCTGTGCTGTGGTCTAGAGTCCAGTGTAGTGCTGCTGCAGTGGTACGAGCCAATGCACAAGTTCATGCTCATTAAGGTATGTGTGTAAAACCTGTCATTAAAAAGTATTCTGTACTTTCTCTGTCCTGTTGCAGTCCTCAGAGGGTCAATAGTGAACCTTCAGGTTGATCAGTGACATATGTAGACATGTTAGTAAGGAAATGTGGCTATCAGGGTTAGCCCTAAAAGTACAGTTTACTTTAAAGTAGTAGTGTCTAGTCGTGTTTACGATTTGGCATCTAGAGATGAAGTTGAACTGAATACCGCTTTCCTTCCAAGCATGTAAGAAAAATGCCAAAGGCCCTGTCTAGAGGCAGTGTTTGGTTTGAACATGGTGGGCTGTGTGGAAGAAGACCTGCTCCCTCTGTAGATAGAAATGTCTCATTCTAAGGTAACAAAAACACAACGATTCTTATTTTCAGCTGATTATGCACTAATAAAAACATACCCATAGCCTATGAATACTTATATTTCATTTCTGTTAATAGATCCTCCCTGAATGTTAGCACCACCCGGGACCCTTTTAATTGGCGTTTTAAGCAGGATATTGTTTCACCGGTTTTCTACATCCAAGAGGATCAAAACAGCGTCCACCATTAAGGATTATCTATTTACACGGGCTGAGTCTTAAATAAGATCTAATTTTCTCGGTGTTTTCCCAGAGAATCAAGAAAGCTTGGAAAACCTCAGATTTCCTATAAAAGCAAATGCCAGACATAACATCTAGCACCAGAATTTTTCCAACCCCCCTATTTTCACACCTTCATGTCAATAGGGCAACAACACAGCAATGTAGAGATGTCTTTTTCCCATCAACCAATGTCGCGTCAGAAAATGCAGGCTTTTTCGTCTGCTGTTAAGGGTCAGCAAGTGTGCTGCACCCGAAGGTTTGTACGTGAAGCCCAAAAAACGGATAAGTAAACACACATGCCCTGGCGGTGAAGGGAAACCCATGAATGCTATATAACCGGCAGATTCCCATTTATGAATATGACACGGAAAACATACTGGCAATTTGACGATGAATGTATAGATGATCTTTGTTAGGCTGTCCATTTTTTACCAGTTTTTATTGGAACTGTTTAACAACCTGCGGACAAGGCAGCTAATAACAATGACTAGCTGCCAGGGGAATAAAGCATTTCCTTTATGGCCATTATCAAAAATTTCCTGAGATAGCTTTAAACCAAAAATGAAAACATCGGCTGTGGTTTTGAAGAAAATAGACTTATTGGTGGCCCTCCTAGTTACGAAGCACAATGACTGTAGCTGAACAGGTTGCAAGGTTTTAAGCTTGTCCTTGACAAAACACCCTTAACCGTCTGCTTTGTGTTCTGCCCTGCCGAACAACAAGAAAAAAAAAAAAAAAGAAGATGAAAACACAGCTAAATACCACCAAAAGACCATTTAAAGG